GAGATGGTGACCCAGGACCCTGAAGGGAGGCCCCAGAGAGGCAGAACCTGGTCCTCCAGCATCACCCAAGCTCTAAAATACAGTCCCCCAGAGTCCCCAAGACCATATCCACCGGAATTACTGAGGCTTAATTAACAAAATAGCCCACGTCTGCTGTGAGAAATCCAAATGGGGCCCGCGCCAGACGCCACTGTCAACTTTCACCTCGAAGTCTCCCAGGACCCCAGAGAGCAGGGGCCTCCTCCCTTCTTCTTACCCCATACCCATGCTAGTGAACCCCAGGAAAGCCCTCGGACACCTCACAGAGCCAATCCTGCCTCGAGCACCAGCCTGTGATTGCAGACATGTTGACCGGAGGGAGTCTCCCAAACCACTTCAGATTAAGGTGTAATGGACCGAAAGCTTGTCATGAAGGACCTGGGCTTTCAAATTGGGTCAGGATGCATGACAACTCAGACAGGGTCAGAATGGACGTGTTGGGGGGGTTGTGGGCGGTACCCAAGCTCAGGGACTGCCCCTATCAGCAGTGGCCTTAGTGGCGTTCCGAGCCTCCGTGAGCCTCAGTTTACTCATCTGAGGGATGGTGGTAATAGCGACCCAGGCCTGGGCTGCTGCGAGAACACGCTAGGTCACCGTGTTTCAGCGTCTCAGCACAGTGACGGGCACAGAGAAGTAACCCAGAAAGGGCCACTGCGGTGATAATTGGAAGAAAAGCAGGAAATATTAAGGTATTCAACCGAAGGTCACAGCATATATTACGCTGAGCTAAGTCAGAGGCCATTTCCCGCCCAGACCAGCGGCCGCAGGTGCCAAAGGTTTACACGAAAGCTCTGGGGAGAAAGACCGAAGACTGAGAAAACGCTCTCCACCAAATGAACGCTGTCTGCAAACTGGGAAAAGACCACCATTAGTCAATTTGGCCAGCAGAACACCTGGGGTCCAGCTCACAAGGGCCGGGTGTTGAGAGTGGAGTTTGGCAATCTGGAGTTTCCCCTCAGGGAATGAGGCCCTAATGGGGCGGGGCTGGGAGGGGGGGTCCAGGCGTGTGACAGGCCACAGAGAAGCCACAGTGGAGCACAAAGATCTGTGTCCCAGTCCTGGTTCCCTATCACCAGAAACCTCCTCTCTCGAGGGCCTCAGTTTTCCCATCTGGAAGATGGTGGAGCTGGGCCGAGAACATCTTTCTCCAGGACTGCTGGCCTGGAGCTCTCTGGTCCAGGGTGCTGACAGATGGCCCAGGGTCCCACTGCAGACACAACCTGTGGCCCTCGCAGGCCCCAGAGACAGTCCCCCTCTGCGACACCAGAGGAAAAGGAAAGCGGCTGGTTCACTTTGTGGCTGACACTAGAACGGAATCAGAGGGTCTCGCCCCCGAGGGGCTCGCTTCCCCTGCTTGGCAGGCCACCGAGGCCGGAGCAGTCCAAACACAAGAAATAATAAATCCTACCCGGGCTCTGCCCAGCCGGGAGGCCCGGCTGGCTCTTGTCATAAAAAGATCTTATCCCCATGAGCACCCTGTGCCCAGCGTGGAGGACTCCGCCCTCCTCCCCTCAGCCCTCCGCCTCCACTTCTATTTCCTGTGACAACCTGCAAACTGAAGACCAACTTGCCTCTCCACCCCCCCCCCCACGCCCTGGCTTCTGCTCGACCCCCGCCCTGCCCCACCCCCAACAGGGCCCCAGCTGCAGGAGGCCCAGGCAGAGTGTAATTCCCCTTGCCCTCCTCTCAGCCCTCGGCCGGTCCGGACAGATTAAGCCTTTGTCACACACACCCAGAAAAGCTCAGGGCCAGATGGGACAGGACAAGTGGTGTCAGATCATCGACCCGCTGCTGGCCCGGACTCAGGGAAGGGCCCCGACCACAACACCACATATGGCTGTGGGAGGAGGAAAGGGGGCCCAGGGAGGGGGAGGCAACATGGAAGAGAGACACACGCCACAGCTACCCTTGGGACTCGAGCCCAGGCAGGGCACCCCTGTTCGACCGCTGGATGACCAAACTCCCACACCTCCTCTTTCCTGGAACTGCTCTGCCTGGCTTCTTGATCGTGCCCTCAGTTGTGCCCACCTCCCCGACAGCTATGTGCCCCGGGGGCAGGCACAGAGTCCAACCCATCCCAATGCCCCAGTGCCCCTTGCAAGGCCTGTGGGTGCTAAACAAATGCCTCGGGCAAAGGTTTATGGCCAAATGACCTTCATAAAACCCACCCAGGACAAAACTACAGGATCTTTCCCAACTGCCACCAGAGGCAACAATAACTTTAAGTGTGTGTGTGTACCCGTGCAGGCCAGTGAAAGTGGGGGATGTCCTCTGCACCTTTCAAAGAAGGTCCCATTCAGCCCCTCTCAGGAAGAGGCAATGGCCACCCCTGAATTCCCAGCAGGACTCATTCCTCTTAGATCAGTGAAAAGGAAAATGGAAATGTAAAAATAATAACTGAGCCCCAGGAAGGTACTTGAAGATGGGGGTGGCAAGACTAGGGGCACCTCCCGCGGCTGGCTCTGGTTGACTGGACAAGTGGCAGGTAACTAACAGGCTCTCTGGGGACCAGCAGGCTAGGCAGGTGGGCATTGGGAGTCTGAGGGGCGGGTTGTCACAAGAGAGCATGTCCGTCGTGTTTGTCATCCTTCTGGCAGCCTGGGCAGGGAGGCCTGGGTCCCCTTTCTCTGCCTCCCAGGAAGGTGGTCCCTTGGGGAAGGCTTATTATTGGTCTGGGAGCCACAGTAGAGGCTGGTGGGGCCCCTGCCGCCAGGGCGGGTCAGTGAGGGCGTCCGGAAGGTTATGAAGAGACTGGCTGGGCTGGCGGACTGGGCCCAGACCCAGCACCCAATTTCTGCATGTGGCCTGGATGGGCGTGTGTGCACTCAGTCCACCTTGACAGCTGGGTGGCTAAGGGGTTAGGGGGACGGCCCTATCACACCCACTAGCTAGAGGGGAGGTCCACCCGCACAGTGAACCCGTGAACCAGCTGCCAAGTAGGAGTGTCACTGCCCCCCCAACTCCAGGAGTGGGTGCAGTGAGGGCTTCTGCCTCAGACTAAGATTGGGCCAAGGCTCCCAGCTCCCTAGGGAGGGATAACCCCGATGCAGTGGATGGGGGTGGGGGGCAGCCCTAACTGATCTGGGAAGCTTAGATGGCTCGGGGCAATGAAGGAGGTAGGGGCACAGACCCAGCCTACCATCTGGCGGGTCACTGACCTCCAAAACCCACACTTAGGCTAGGGACACTAGCCCAAGACAGGGGAGAAATGAGAGGGATAGGAACTGGCAGGGTGGGAGGGGCTGACCTAGGCTGGGGAGAGGCAATGACCCATATTCCCCGCGTGGGAAAGTGGGCACTGATTTAGGCCGGGGGAGGGGTCCCTGGCTCCGCCGGGGGAGGGGGCTATGACCCAGGCTCCCTGGGTCTGGGGGAGAGCACTGATTTAGGTTGGGGTGGGGGGTGGTCCCTGACTATCGCCGAGTGGGACCCTGCCCCAGCCTTCCCCTTCGGGAATCGGGCCCCGGCGCGCCCCCGGCCCGGCCCTCTGCTCTGGGTCCGGCCCGAGGCGGCAGCGGCGCAGATGGGCTGCTGGCGGCCGCAGCGGCAGCCGCGCGGTTATCAGCGCTCCTCGCAGATGGGCCGCCCGCCCTCCGCGCTCGCGGCGCCCCGCTCCCCGCGGCCTGCAGCCCCGTCCCCTGGGCGAGGGGGGAGGCGCCTCCGGATCCGCTCCCTGGCTCCCGCCTCCCTCCCTCGCGGCCCCCTCACCCCGCGGGCCGGGCCCGGGCGGCCGCCGGAGGGGGAGGAGGAGGGGGAGGGGACAAGTGCACTTTTCGTAACGACCGAATCAATTGTGTGTGAAGAGCCCGCTCTGGCCGGGGACCGGGCTGAGCGCGGGGCGGGCGGGCCGGACGGGGGAGGAGCACAGAGGGGGGAGCGGGAGAGCGAGCGAGGGAGGGAGGCCGGCGCGGGGCGGCCCCGCTCGCTCGCTCCGGCCGGGCGAGGCCAGGGAGGGAGTGCGGGGGGCGGGGAGGAAGGCCGGCCCGGCCCGAGCGGGCCCGGGGCTGGACGCACTCGCGGAGGGTCTCCGCGACGGAAAGTTCAAAGCTCAGCAGCGCCCCGGGAGCAGCTGACCCCCCCAGCCCCCACCCGCTGCAGAACAATGAGGTCCCGGCGGGGGAGCCGCGGGGCCCGCGCCGCTCGCCCTCTCCAGGGCGCCCCGGGCCGGAGGGGACGCCCCCGCCCGGCAGCCCGCCTCCTCCCTCCCGGCTGCTGCGGTTCCCCGCCCCCTCCCCTACGCCACCCCGCCCGGACCGGGCCGGCCCCGGGGACGGGGGAGGGGCAGGGATGGATAGGACAGGCCGCCCCCGTCCCAGGGCGGGGGGAGCCAGGGGCCCCGGGGGCGGAGGGGGCGCCCCACCCACCCGCGGGAGGCTGCTCCTGCGCCAGGCTGCGGCTCGGGCTGCCCCTCCCCGGGTGGGGTCGGGGCGCCAGTGCCCGGGCGGGCCCCCTCCCTGGGCACTGGGGAGACGAGTGGAGTCCCCGTCCCGTGGCTGCCGCTGACCCCCCCCCGCCCGCGGCACCACCCTGCACACACACACACACACACACACACACACCGCCCAGCCGGCCCGGGGGCGGGAGCGCGAGGCGCCCGGGACAGGCAGCCCTGGGGCGGGCGGGGTGGGGGGGGAGGCTCGGGCTTCGGAGAAGCCGCCTGCTGGCGGGGGGAGGGGACAGGAGGACGGAACACGCCGGGGTGAGCGGCCCGGGACAGCCCGCCCCGCACGGCCACGGCCCGGGCAGCGGCGCAGAGGGGGGCAGGGACGCCCCGAACCCGGAGCGCAGCCTGGGCGGGCCGGGGCGGGCGGGCGAGCAGGGACGCGTGCGCCTGGAGCGGGCCAGACACACGGACGGCCTCGGGGACACAGGTTCGGACACACACCCACACCCCCACCCCGCCCCCGCCCGCCCCGAGCCCCGCGGCGGGACCGGCCCGCGGCCGCCGTGCTCTCACTCACCGAGCCCGTCTTGACCGGCACATACACCACTTGGCCCATCTTGGGTTCCCGGCTGCTGCCCAGGCGGAAGCCCTTGGAGCGCACCCAGAACTGGAACTTGCCTTTCTCGCCGGCCGCCGGGCCGCTGCCCGCGCCCGTCCCGCCGCCGCCCTGCAGGACCTCGGTGATCCGCTGGTATTTGCTGCGTGTCACCGTCTTGGTTTTGGCCGAGTCGCCGTAGGTGCGCAGGCACCAGTCCCGGAACTGGCGGCCCAGCTCCGAGTCCCCGGGACTGCGCTCGCGCTCCCAGCCCCCGCGCAGCAGCAGCGTCGGCTTCGGCATCCTCCCGCCGCGCCCGGCGCCCTCGGGGGCGGGCCGGCCACCGGGCCGCCCGGTGCAGGGACTGGGCTGGGCTGGGCTGGGCTGGGCCGGGCCGGGGCGCGCCGCGGCCCGGGCTGTCCCGCGGTGTGGCTCCGGCGCGGCTGCCTGATGGGCACGGGCGGCGGCCGGACGCACGGGGCTGCGGCGCGCTCTGTCCTGCTCGGGCGGCGGCGGCGGCGTTGGCGGCGGCGGCTCCGGCTCGCCTCCTGCTCCGCCTCCTCCTCCCCCCGGCCGGGATGCAGGAGCGATGGAGGCAGCTCCGGGCCCGGAGGTGCAGAGGGGGCGGGCCGCCCCGCGGGCGGCAGGGGGAGGCGGGAGGCGGGGAGCGGCCCCGGGCGCGGAGAGCGAGACCGAGCCTGGGCGCGGGCGGCGGCGGCGGCTGTCAGCTCGCGCGGCTCATCCTGCTCTTGCTCAGGCTCTCTCTGCCGCTGCTCTTCCTCCTCCTCCTCCTCCTCCCGCGCCCGCCTCCACCACGCCGCGGGATCCCACCTGTTAGAGCGTCGCAGCCTTCGGCGCCGTCCCCTCCACCCTCCCGCGCCCGCCCGCGGGGCCCAGCCTCCGCCCCGGCCCGGCCCCTGGGGGCGCGGAGGCTGCCGCGCCCGCAGCCACTGGGAGGGCAGGAGCCGCAGGCGCGCAGTGCTCAGCCCCGGGACTGAGTTCCCTCGGGCCGGGCCTGGCCCAAGCCTCCCAGGCCGCGCTCCGAGTCGACCTGGCGGTCTCACAGGGAGTAGGGCACCGACCCCGCCCGGCCACTAGCGTCCCTGCCTCCCCGGACAGCCCCGCCCGGTTTTAGCCCGGCACTAGAGGTACAGGGCAGGGCCCCTCCCCTCGCGGCAACTGGCCTGACCTCTGGTGCGAGCCCGAGGCCAGAAGAGCAGTGTTCCCCTAGGGAACCCCTAACTGCAGCCCATGGGGCCTCCCAACTTCCTCCCCTCAGCCTCACCCCAAATTCCCCAAAGTTTGGCCAGCCTGGCTTCTGCCAGCCCCACGGCTTTGGGACAACCCCAGGCCCCAGGGACGTGGTCAACATTGGCCGGTGGCCTCACTCAAGCCAACCCCACCAGGGCATCATGCACACCGAACACACCCATAAATTCAGCCTGAACTACTCTGCCTTCGTGGGTGCGCCTTGGCCTAGAATCTCTTGCAGAGTAAACTCAGGTGGCCTGCCATCCACCTCCTCTCTCGGCTGGGCTTAGCTTGAGTGGAGCCAGCCCCCTCCCCCTTAGTGAAATTACCAGCATAAATAAAGGCACAAGCCAATTCCCCAGAATTTCTGCCCTCCTTTCTTAACTGCTGTGTTTCTCTTCCTGCTGTTCCCTGGGGCCTAGCCCACATGTCCTCAGGCCTGTCCTGCAAGTTACCACCCAAGCCTGAGGCCCAGAGTTTGTCCAGAGCAGGACAGTTTTCTGTCTAAGACCTACTGGCTTCGCCCATCCCAAGGTCTCCCACGTTGGTACTTACAGTGTGTCATGTCCTGGCAACTCCGAGAGGCAATGGGGACTGGCCCATTTTTATAGATAAAGGCCTGGAACTCAGAGAGGTGGCCTGACCTGCTCAAGGTCATGCGGGGGGGAGGGGAAGGTTTCAGCTCAGGTCTATTGGCTCTTGCTACCACATCACACAAAAAGTCTCCCCCTACCACCCGCTGGGAGGAATCCCAACACTGTATGTGCCCAGCTCCCTTCCCCTGTAGACAGGGGGCTTAAGGCCCATGTCGGACTCATCCCTGTACCCCAGGCCCTAGCACAGCACCTAGCACACAGTAGGTGCCAAAAATGCTGAAAGAACCTGAGGTCGTCCAAGCCCCAACCCCTTTCTGCATTTCACATAGACTTATTTTTAGAAAATTTACATTTCCATGTTACTTTATATACACCAACAACTCCACAGTCATTTTTCCTCTTTATCTTCCTAAGAGCTCTTTTTGATTCCATGCTGGCATGCCTGTTTTCCAAAAATGACCACTGGGGCTCAGTGAGGAGAGGGCGCTACCCAAAGGCCACCCACCTCCAGGGGTGCAGGGGCTCCTGCATGACTTGGAAGCCCATGCCTTGACTTCTCCAATACACCCTTTGACACCCCTAAGCTGACTTCCTTCCTGAGAGCAAAGATGCTCTAGCCCAGCAACACTAATGATCGCTTTCAGCAAGGGTGCCCTGGTGCGAGGTGGTAGGGCCCCCATTTGAGCCCAGGTCTCTCTGTTCAATACCAAGACCTACTTGAATGACTATGAAGCCAGACCACCTCCCCATGCAATCTGGGTATTACCCTGCCTTTTGGAGTCTGAAAACCTGGTTGTTATTCCTGGGCCAAGTTCTAGTGTGGCAGAAGTTGTGGTGTAGTGAAAAATCGTAGGCTTTGGGTAGAGGCAAACAGACTTGGGATTACTGTCGGAGGCCCTGTTCCCAACCACCACTTGCCATGGTGTCCTTCATGCCTGTTGGCCCCCTCCCAACTGAATGAACCCATTGGGCCACCCTTTACTGTATGACCTCAGGCAGGTCACTGAACCTCAACTTCATCTTCTGTACAGTGGACAGAGTGTCATAGATTTAAAGACTCAGCAAAATAAAATATGTGAGAGAACCTTACAGATCACAGTTACCCAGTAAATGTCATTTTCTCCTTCATAAAGTATTCAAGGAGGGTGAACACTGTTGATGCTTTTCATGTTTCAGTCATTCAACCGACATTTCTTGAGCAGCCATCATGCACCAGTGCCGGGGATATAGCCATGGGGTCCCAAGGTCCTCGTCCTCCTGGAGCTCACCAGTGGGTGGGGAAGACGACCACTGAGCAGACTGACTGTCAGTGACCACAGCCCGGAGAAAGGGCCATGAAGGAAGTGGGAAGCTGTGGAAACACATGGTGGGAGGGAGGGACTGCTTTTCTTAGGGGGATCAGGAAAGACCCCTCTGAGGAGGAAGATTTGAGCAGTGACTTAAATGAAAAGGAGCCATCTATGCTATGTTATGAGGTACGAGCATTGCACGTAGAGGGAACAGCATGTGCAAAGGCCCTGAGGTGGGAGAGAGATTGGCATTCTCCAGAAGCTGAAAGGAGGCCAGTGTGGCCAGAGTGAGGAGGGGCAGGAAAGCAGGAAACCGTGGAAAAAACTTTGGATTACACTCTAGATGCGATGGGGAGCCGCTGGTGAGTTCTAAATACAGGAAAGACCGGGGAGCAGAGAGGAAATGAGAAGTGGAGGGTGGCTGCAATGGCCCAGGTGTCTGTGGTTGAGGGGCGTGCAGGTCAGAGGCCTTGGCTTCTCCTTCTGTGTGTCAGCTCACTCTAAGCCAGCCGCATCTAAGCCAGGGAAACGGATCCCTGGCCCTCTGGCTTGTTCCTGTCAGTGGCATCCTTTAGCGGAGGTCCTGCCCCAGAGCACGCTGAGTGGGAAGTAAGTGTCTCGCAAGGCCAGCTTGTGGGTGAGGAGGGCAATCGTGACCCTAAGGGGGCAACTGCTTCTCCTTTCTTCCCACTGCAGAAACCTGCTGAAAGGACTTGCATGCTAGGTTGCCCCATTAATCACAGGTCAGTGGAGCCCCTGAATATATTTTTTTAACCTTTAGTCCAGATGTCCAAGAGAGGCTGGGGTTGGAGCAAGAGGAGTCCTGACCCCAGCACTTATGTCTGCTTCCAAAACTGGTAGTAATACGTTAGGTCACCAGAGGTAAGTGAAGAAGGATCTGCAAAGTATACAGTTGAAACTGCCTTTTACAGGAGGGTAAATCGAATCCCACAGGAGGGAACAAGCTCAGGGCCACAGGCAGAGGGAGGCATCTGGTCTTGTCTGGTGTGGCCTAAGTTACCTGCTTTTCACTGAACTCTGACTCCAGGCCCAGATGAGTAGGAATGTCTGCAACTAAGAGGTGAGGTTGTCTCAACCTGGCCCGAGGTGAGGCAGAGTTCCAGCCCTGGGGTAGGGCACAGTGACTCAGGCACCCATGGTGGCCTGTCCATCAAAGGCCGGGAAGAGGCCTCAGAGCCTTGCAGAGGGGTGGTTTTCACTGCCAGACGCTGGTGCCACCTCCATCCTGGGCTTGTGCAGCCATTGCCACCCCCCTCCATTTCAAAGTGTCTCCCCCTGCAGTCTGCCCAACCACACCAACCTGCTGCTCCAGGCATACTGCACCCAGAAACACCCCCTGACCCTTCGGTTTGGCTCAGCTACTTCCCCAGACCCCCTGGGCCTCTCCCATCCCAGCTCTGACTACGCGACATCATGATTGCCTGGTTGCTTGTACCTACCTACCAGTACCCAGCACAGGGGCTGAGGTTTAATAATTATTGAGTAACCGAGCAAATGAATGAATAAATGAATGAGCTGGTTCTCAAAATGTGCATCTCAGACTGAAGGCAACAGCATTTTCCACCGCCCGACTCGGCCTCCTCGCAGTCCACCCGTCAGCCTTTAGCATGCTCTTCCCGAGAGGCACTGCCGTCGAGCACCCTTACCTGAGCCCCTTGGTTTATCTCAGCCTTGGTTTCGACGTCGGTAAACTGGGGATAATCGTTTTTCCTGACTCGCTGGGCTGTCCTCAGAATAAGCACTAGATAAATGTTAGCTCCTGTTACCTATGTCCGTCTGCCATTCATTCCGGTGTCCCCGTGTGTGTGTTCTGCGTGTCACCGGCCATACCTGGTCCTGGGAATGCAGCCATAAACAAAATGGCCCTGGCCCCACCGCTGGGGGAGCTCAGGGGCTCACTGACTTAGACAAGGGGAGGGAGAAGGCTGCCTCCATACCCTACAACGGCCCACGCCTCGGTGCCCGCGGAACCATAACCAAGTGGGGAAACATTCTGTCTACCTCGCAGACTTCGAGAACCCCTTGAGTCCAGGATCTTCCAAAAACTAAAGATTTCATTCAGATGTCACCTCCCCAGAGGAGCCTTCCTTGACTGCCCTTTCAAAAATAGTCCCCCAGTGACTCTCTATGCCCTGCCCTGCTTTATTTACCTTCCCAGACTCAGCACCACCTCCCATTATACTGTGTGTTTGTTTCCTTCTCTCTGTTCATCTCACGCACTGGGATGTATGTTTGGAAAGGGCAGGGATTCTATCCTGTTGACTACAGCATCTCCAACATCCAGAACATCTGGCACATAGTAGGTGTTCAATACATATTTGGTTGAACCAGTGAATGAATTTATTGAAGATATGGCTCAAGCATGTACATGAGTGAGCATTCGCATGTTATAAGTAAAATTG